AGTACATACATCTATAGCAGGATGCAGAATCATTGGAAGAATGTGTGTTGGTAAGTTAATTCCTTACTCACCTTTGTTGTGTAAATTTATTGTCATGTTAGTCACAGCGTTGTGAAAATTGGATTGCGTACATATGTGTCAATGGTTTGCTTGCAGGGAGTAAAAGTTATTTTAATTCTTGAAATCTATTTTTTGTTGAACTCTTATGCTCTTGTTTTTTTGAAATTATATTTTTGTGCGAACTGTCTGTGACCAAAATAATCAATTATTGTGAATTATATGATTTGATATGTTTGATTATGACGAGTCAGTGAACTAGATGAAATTGTTGATCTTTTTCATCCTTCTACTCAACACATAGTATAATGGAAATAAAATCAGTATAGTGTTTGTACAATGTTTCTTTCCTTCCACTATAGTGTAGTTGTGTATATCACCTAATCCCGAGTGGACTTATTCTGGTTCTGAGTAAACAGAAGTAGATGATGGCGATAGACTCGCAAAAGTGATCTATTAATAATTAATAACTTAATTGTTTTCATTAGGAAGTCGAAAATTTGTAATACTATGTTTAAAGTTCGATAACATTGACCTAATTGTCTTTGTTAGGAAATCGTCATGGTCTTCTGGTGCCTAATTCCACAACTGATCAAGAGATGCAACAGATGAGAAATTCTTTACCTGATAGTGTAAAAATACAGAGAATAGAAGAAAGATTATCAGCATTGGGCAATGTTATTGCATGCAATGATTATGTAGCATTAGTTCATCCAGATCTTGACAGAGTAAGTATATAAATGCTGCAGTATTAAAGGCGATACAGTTCAGAAGCGTTTATGTTCAGTCTGGTGGTTGCTACCAAAATTTGCTACCAAGATTTTTTACAAAAATTCAGACCATTGTAACATAAAATAAAGGCAAATTTGTGTTATTCACACATTCACTGGATCTGTGTAATAACACTTGTTTATCATTTTTTCTCCAGGAAACTGAGGAAATATTAGCTGATGTGTTGAAAGTTGAAGTATTCCGTCAAACAATGGCTGATAATGTATTAGTTGGTTCATACTGTGCTATTAGCAATCAAGGAGCTTTGGTAAGCTGTTAGAGTACATTCAGCACAAAGTATCATGTTCTATAAAGACTGCATGCTACATTGATCCATAGGTTAATTTTAAAGAGAAAAGCAAGCCTGTTGGAATAGACCATTTCCCGTTCACTGTTAAGTGGTATCATTTCATACATACTGTTATGTGATTCATTTGTTCCTGTTTAGATTATTTTGGGTTCCATACATTAATAAATTTGGGATCCAGGCACCTGTCACCAGTGTGTCGTCAGTGATTTCTCATTCATGTATCATTTTTACAAAGATGTTAGAGAAGGTCATGCATAAGCACTTCGATTTGCATTTTGGCAGCCATTTTTCTCAGAGACGTGTGAAATTTTATGCGATTTATTAGAACATTTCCATTATTTAAATTATTAATATGACATTATTTTACACTGAATCCTGATGACAACTTGTTTTATTTATCTCCTCAAGTAAATTTATTTTTGGCAATTCACACTGTTCCATTACTCTGCATCGTTTTTTGTATGTACAATACTCACAAACTAAGTATGTGACCATACATGCATTCAAGTTCTAGGCAACAGTTGTAGTCGTCCAGTTCAATTATCCTCACCTCTTTTCAGCTTGAATATTAAACTTTCATTTGACCTTGTTTTTCAGGTTCATCCACGTACTTCTGTTGAAGACCAAGACGAGTTATCATCGTTACTGCAAGTACCACTCGTGGTAAGCAACACCTTTGCATCATGCGTTTTATGCTTCAAGCGAAAAGGTCATCTTAAATCAGTTTTCAAATCGCTATTCCTATAAATTGCACCCTCTGTTGATAGAGCGCTTCTGTGATGCTGAAATGGTGTGAGGAAGGAAACATAATTGAAATCAACAACTGTTGTATTGTCGTTCATTATCAAGATTATGGTGAACTTTTTTCAAACATAATTTTCTTTGATGTATGACTACAGATTGCAATGATATTGTTGCTTTGAACGGCCTTCATATCACCTATTTAACCATAGAAGCACTTCCCCACCGAATGGTGCAATTTATAGGAAAGGTTATTTTAACCCTGCTTATGTGGTTTCTTGTTCTATCAGACACCTTGTGACAAATAAAAGAACCTAGGTGGCAAATATTCTTTTAATATTGCCGGGTCATATCTACCAATCAGATCGCTGGGTGCCCAAGCTATAATCAACACAATGATTTGATATGTAGAATACTTGCATTGACATTTGGAACAGACTGGAAGGAACATATACTTTATTATATTTTTCAAATTTCTCAAGTCATGTCAATTATATGCCACTTTGACTATCAGAATATCACCACTGATACTAACTAAAACAGTGTCATTGTCAATATTGAAATAGTATATGATCGACAAAAGTCAGAAGATATACACTCAAATGTGATTGCAGCCATATTAGAAGCCTGCTATACAATTGTAGAATAAGGTTTTGACAACACTTAACTTTTATATTGCATTTTGAAATAACCCAACAATTCCACACTAACAAAAATAATAATAATGTTTGTCTGAGTAATGTTTTTTTTTTTATTAAAGTACAATTTCACCTTGTACCAACTGGACAAGAAATTTTATTTTGTTAATGTTGATTTAGAGCAAATGAATGAAAGGTTTTTATTGCTGACAAAATTCATTGCCACTGTAATCATAAACACAAACTGCAAAACAAACTTCTAAAAATTATATTATCTTTCATGGTTATCAGAGCTTTTCCCAGAGTATATTATGCATTCTTTCTAGATTTCCCAAATTGGTAATGTGAGGGCAGTATAACCCTGCAGGTTGGGAGGGGAGAGTTGTTGTTTTGTAATAGACACTGTATTTCTGTTATTAATCAAATTTGTTCCTCTGTGTGTGTAGGCTGGTACAGTGAACCGTGGTAGTGATATTATTGGTGGTGGTATGGTAGTTAACGACTGGTGTGCATTCTGTGGACTTGACACAACAAGTACTGAATTATCAGTGATAGAAAGTGTATTTAAACTTGGTGATTCCCAGCCAAGCAAAGTTACAACTGAAATGAGAGACACATTAATTGAAAGGTTAGTCCATAAATACATCTACAGGTGCATATAGTTAGTTTATACAAAGAGCTTTTCTCAGTTCCTGATCGAAACAAAAATCCTGTAAATAAAACTGGTGTTTGGTTTATGCATGTGTTACACCTCAGAGGTTATATTGGTTTGGTTTAAAGAGTAAAATACTAAATCTGATAAAATACAGTGATAGTATATGAGATACAGACATTGATGTTCCATGCTCCCATATGTCGTGCTAGTCGTATCTATTGCTATTCATTATCCATATATCGATCCTAGCAATGTTGTTAGCCATATTTCATTAATGGGAACAGGAGAAGCATAAAACTCTAGCTACCAATGATCTGCTATCAAGCATAATATTCCAGGATGCTATCACGTTTAATAGGATATTATTAAATTATCATAAATACCAGAAACAAAACCAAAGGAACAGGTTCTATATTACAGTGTAGCACCTACATTGCTAGCCCTGCGTACAGTGCTGTGTGTACGGGGACACGTTCGGTTGATAGATGTCCCCACCACAGCTCTGCGTACCTCCATATATATTCTCTAAAAACGAGTGAATCAGTAGTGACTATGCTTTTTGCATTGGCGCCCTCTAAGATCAGAAAAAAGAAAATCAAATCTCATTGCTAGAGGGCAATATGCCTGCCACCAATATTTGTTTATTACTTTCAAAGGTGATATATACTATTAAGTTCCTCTAAAAGCCAAATCTTTAACTCGTTAGCTCTATTTATTTGTAAGTGTTTTTTAATCAAAGATCAAATGAGAATAACCTAATAAGCTTGTATGTATATATACCGTACTCGACCGCGTTTTATATTTGGGGTCACATTCGGCAAAGCACCCACCCCTTCAAAATGCAACTGTTTTAAAACTTGGTCTTGCGTAACGAATCTTGGTAATCGTTTTTATATGATACAGCGTGGATATCAATCACTGTGAACATGTTGTGAATGCATAGAATACGATAACCGTGTTTAAGCTACGCTTCGACAATGACCTGTTAATAAAAGTAAAATGCGATAAATACTTCATGCCATATTCAGTTTACCTCTCAAAAATGGCTAGTTACTAGTTTTTTGGAAAAACCATGTCGTTTATTCCCTGAAATCAATTCCAACAGATCGTACTTCGACATCGATAATTCACTTCCGCATTGTGTTACCAGAAAGTTTTCGTGAATTTCCGAAGAATTGCGTCAGTCAAAACACAGCATTCTGATTAGTTAATAACCAACTTGACCCATTGGGTCAAAGGATGCTGCTGTAGGTCAAATCTGCAAATGCATTATGGTGGAAATAATGACAATTTTGACTTCGACTGTGTTCCAACAGACTCAAATGTTTTTAATTCAGTAAATTATGGTGGTACGTAATTAATATTGTAATGTGCGTATTTTTTGTGATCATTTCTGTTTCTTCATTGTGAAAATCAATGACGACGCAACTAATTTAGTAATTTGATTTTCCCTCAAAGACGCAATTTGTCACTTGATGAATCAAAATTTTCATTTGCACTCTTTTTCGAAGGGGGTGCTCGGGTAAGCGCCCACCCCTAAAAAAATCATGATTTTCTGAGTTGAGGCCCCTGGGTGCTAACGCGGTCAAGTACGGTATATTAATATCCCCATCACATTATATAGTACTTATATTTTCTCTTTTCATAAATATTTTGTAATATAAATTTATTTCTTGTCAATAATTAATTTGTATGATTGTAATGGGCCGGAGGCCATTATACAATTAATAAATTATTATTATTATTATATATTTACTCTCTTTTTTAGTCCCCGTTCGGACATAGTCTGATAACAGGGACTTATGTTTTGCCCTGTGTGCGTCCATGCGTGCGTCCGTGATCACCTCGAACATGCATAGACTGATTAAGTTCAAACTTTACTCATACATCACACATCATATGGGACATATGCACATGCATTTTTTTCATGATCCGATTAACGATAGCCGAATAGCGGCCATTGTTAGGCCGAAAATGCATCAAAATTGCATATTTTCCCCATTCCAGACCCGAATCTCAGTTATGCATGGACGGATTTTGTTCAAATTTGGTACATACATTAAACATAATAAGACCTTGATGCACGTCATTTTTTTTTTTCGGATCAAGTTGGAAATGGCCGACTGGCGGCCATTTTGTTTTAAAGAATTCATTTCTGGATCCGTATCTGAGACATGCCTGGATTGATCGAGTTCAAACTTCACACACACAAGGTACATCATGTCATAAATACAGTGGCCCCTCGCTAAGTCGCGGGTGTTGGGATCCAAGCAAAAACCGTGACTTATCGAGGGCCGCGACTTACCGAGGAACGTCGTGAAAGAGGGAGGTCGTGCATTGAAAAACATATAAAAAGCACATATAAACCCTCGGTTTAGTTAATTGATGTATCATCACATGTGTCAGGCAGTATTCGAATAAAATCATGATTATGTTTGCTGTAAACATTGCGTTGATTATTTTGTTTGTGTCTGATATTATGTGGGCCGCTTGCTGTTGCTTGCGACTTCTACGGTAACAGCTTCCAAAATAAACCAGTTTCATCGCAATTATAAACATGTTCGTCAAAATAACCACCTTCATAGATAATTTCTCTCAGTTTTTCGGGAAAAGTTCTGACAGCGTCAAAACAACAATAGAAATTTTGGGAGCCATCCAAGTACCCGCGACTTAGCCGAATCGCGACTTACCGAGGCGCGACTTAGCGAGGGGCCACTGTATGTATGTGCATTTGTTTCATGATCTCATTAAAATGACGGCCACTTTAAGGCTGAAAATGCATTTTCACCATTCCGGACCCGGATCTCAGTTATGCATGGACGGATTTTGTTCAAATTTGGTACATACATTAAACATAATAGGACCTTGATGCACGTAATTTTTTTCCGGATCAAGTTTGAAATGGCCGACTGGCGGCCATTTTGTTTTAAAGAATTCAGTTCTGGATCCGTATCCGAGACATGTCTGGATTGATAAAGTTCAAACTTCACACACACATGGTACATCATGTTACAAATAGATATGTGCATTTGTTTCATGATCCGCTTAACAATAGCTGAATGATGGCCATTTTGAGATCGAAAATGCATCAAAATCACGTATTTTCACAATTCCGGAATTGGATCTCAGTCATGCATGGATGGATGGATTTTGTTCAGATTTAGTACAATGTGTTGTACATATGCAGGTGCATTTCGGATCAGACCACTGAAAGTGGTCTGAGATTTCGGTAATGATCTGCTTTGAATGTATATGTCACTCAAATATGAACGAAACAGGGACGTGTCATTGACAATGACTTGTATAATATATAAAATATTCATATTTCTAGTAACTGCACATGTCAGTTAAAAATTTCACATCTTTTTTGTTTTTTTTCATAACTTTAGGAAAGATGAGAGAAACTTCTACTTTCATGTAATTTAGTGACAATTTCAGAATAGAAATGAAAATAAAATACTGCGTTGATTATAGAAAACAATTTGACCAAAAACATTGGTGTCAAAAATATTCACGATATGTTATTTTGAGGGCATCAACAAAGATGAAATTTCACAATTTGTTGAGGCAAATTAATTGTTTGCTGGTAGAAATTTAAGCGTTTTCCAAAACTCGTCCATTAAACCATAACTTATTTATCTGTTATGAGTCACAGCTGTACATTTTTTGTCATTTGTTAAAAAAAAACCATGCCAACACTGGATTTCAGTTTTTCCCCAGAGAATGGTTGACCTTTCGTGGTAATAACATTTACTCTCAGCCATAAAACCTGTTTTATTGCCATTCTAGTGTTGGTTGTAAACTAAACAAGCCTGCTGGGAAAGTTAAACTGACATTGTTTTTTCTCTCCACAGTATGACGTAAGTCAACTAAACTGGATGATATACTTACGAGTCTGAGAGATTAGGAAAGATACAACTATTTGAAAATGGACAATTGTGAAAACAAGCAGCCAGCCAGATTGAATTGTTTATTATAAATATCAACAATGCTGATAGAAGTTCAGCATTACCAACAGTGGACTATATTTACTAGTGCTGTACAAGTTAACTCGCACCCTCCATAAAGAACCGTGCGTGAAGTGTGCATAAACACATTGTTATCTATTTATGGTAGTATTACTATCAAATACTTGAGACAAAAGCGCTGTGAACTGCATTTTTTTTGAGACAAGCTTGGTTATTATTTTCAACTCAACAACTTTCTCTTATAAAAGAAACACTGGTATATGTGTATTGAATCCAATCATGGTTATTAAAAGTATAATTCAATTTTCCTACATTAAATGTTGAAGTTCTTTAGCCCCGATCTACATGTATCAATCTACATGCACCCACTAATACATGTACCAGTCTGATTACCCAACCCTTTTGTTTTTCTGGGGAGGGTAACTTGTCATTTCGAGATAAAATGTTGACTTAGTTGAGTGAAGTAATTCGAATTACTGATTGTCTATTTGATATGTGAACTTTACATTTTCAACATCTTTGTGAAACAGATAATCAAATTTGATATTTATCAGTGCTGAACACCTATATGTTAGATATGCCTTGACTGATTACATTAAAACTTCATACATACATCATACATCATATTATACATATGTACATCAATTTGTTTCACAATCTGATTCAAGATGACCAAAAATCATCAAAATCTGGTATTGCAGAACCGCTTCTCAGCTGTTTACAGATAAATTTTGCTCAAACTTGCATACATTGGACATTATGGGATGCACGTCACTTTTTCATGTTTTTCAGATCGGATTCAAATTGGTGGACTGCCCATTTTGTTTTAGTGAATGTGGTTGTAGTGCCATATATCTGACATGCTTTGACTGATTATGTTCAAATTTTATATATTCATTATACATCATGTTTAATTAATACTGTTCCAGAGCAATACATCTCAAATGGAGAAGTACTCATTTGAGATCAGATACAAGATGTCTGAATGTCAGTCATTTTAATGATAAAAAATCATCATAATCAAGCACCAGCTTCTGGATCCATATGTCTAACATGTTTATGTTCCAATTATATTACTATAAACAAAACTATACATCTTACATTTGATAAAAAACGTGGCTTGTTTAGTGATTCGTTTGACAATTGTTGAATGGCATCAGGGTGGAAGGTCGAATTTTATATTTTTTGTATCGAAACAAATGAAATCCCACATACATACTAGAGTTTTTTCGCAAGTAGTATCTGTTGGGCTAGATAACAATTTTATAGCGATATCTGAAGCTATCTCCCTTAATGGCGGAGAAGAGTTTAAGTAGGTTACTCTATGAATATATTTTCTTATTTCTGCCTGGGCAACAAGGTGCAAACAGACTGGAAGGAGCTTGGGGAGCTTTGATAGAATGCAAGTCTTGTAGCCATTAAAAACAAATTGCAAGGATGCATTCTACACTTTAAAGCATGGACCCTAATACTACCATTTTTGTGTTATGTATTCATGACACACAAATTAAGACAGAAGTACCACTTTTGAAAAACGTGCATATCGGGTTACCTCAGGGTTTCACCAGTCCAATCGACAATTGAAGGTGGAATATATTATAAAATCAACATTCTACGTGAAGTATTTCCTATTAAGGACCAGGTCCAACCATGTTGAATGTGAAACAGAATTTGAACAACAATGCATGTTACTCGCATTTGAAAAGGGTTTTAACTTTAAAAAACGATGTGTAAAAGTCGACATGATAGATTTATGTAGGCAATATTTGGTAATCATGTTCTAAGTAACTATTAAAATTAGCTAGACGTTTCGGTTGATGGCCTATCTTCAATAGCATATGAAAAGATTGTAAAATATTAAAAGGGCATGAGGATCTAAGAATACACAACTTCACCTAGGCGGCAAGGAAAAATAAGTTGTATGGTTTTCTGTGGTTCTGTAGATTCAAAACAATATAGTTTTCACATCGCCATTTACTACACCAGACATATTCATTATGTTAATTCCCTTTACGATTAAAATAAAGTGAAACATGATAGAAGCGATGTCTGGTATAATGTAGATGTTCATCTCCCAGTCTTATGAATAACTGAACCACATCTTCCTGCTTCTAACTAGGCTAACTGTTATATCAGAAAATCAACTAGCTTCGTGTAAAACAGGTTGTTGAGTGTGGTTTGGACCAGAGCTTGAATAATTCTATGGAGATTCCAGTCGGGATCTGCTATTCGATGCCAGCAACAATGATGATGTGTTTAATATTCCATTTTCTGTTCCACGCATAAGCGCAACTACATACCCATTAAAATGTTTGGTGGTAGAGATGACATACAGGGGCTAAGAAGCAGAATTTCCATTTGATCAGCTGTGAAAAGGGGTCTCTACACAGATCTTGAATGGAAGATACCCAAAGAGCTGTGTGTTGTATTCCATGCATGCTGGTTTGTTCTTCTGGTCCGGATTCTGTGTCAAGAGTTGAATTGACCCTGGGACTATGTCAGTATTCCCGGTCTCTATGCTAACTCGGACTGGATTTAGATTGGGGGTTGTGTCAATATGTCTGGGATCCATGTATTCTACAAATCGAGTTGACATTCAGCCAGTCATATTTGTATTATTCTCTGAATCGAGTTTATACAGGCCCACGCGACATTGTTTATAAAGTATTTACATTGACACATGATACAATTACAAGAGCAATTAAAGGGGCACCTTCCAGTTAAGCCTAATCTCACAACATATTTACTTTCTGGATTAAAATAACAATGGATAACAAAAGATAAATTAACATTGTAAACAACATAAACAATAGTGTCCCATGATTCTTTGGTGCAATCCCTGGGATTGAGCGGTTCCTCTTTAATAGAAGAAGATTGTCCAACATTTCAGAAGTGAGCATCCTTATCTTATTTGCATGCTCGCACATTTATCAGTAGTTGTATCAAGTTATAAAATCAATAATTATGTCACGCATTCATCTACTCCAGGATATCTTGGTTTTAAGTCCTACGAGGTTGATTGAGACTTTGATGCAGCTGAATGGAATGGAATACTACAAAAAGGTTGAAATAAAAAGACGACATACATGTAGTGAAAAAACACATTTCTAGAAATCGAATATGGAGATATATAAGCGTATATTATGCACACAGGGAATTAGTTAACACTATTTTATTCAGGTATTATTCAATAAATATCCATTATCTAGAAAGATGCATGTCTGTGTGTTCCGGTTTTCCTGTTTTGTCAATGTTATAACCATAAACCTAAAAACGGAATTTTTGTCCTATGTTACAACCAATTATTATTTCCTAATGATGTTTTTTTTTCACAATGATATTTACAAACGCAGTCCTTCTCCTTTCAAAAATTACCACAACTGCAGGTAGGTATATCCAAGCTCACATCAGCAATGTTCCAGACACTGTTCCAGAGTTGGTCTGAATAGGTATTACCAGAATGTGGTAACAAACGTATGTATGTATCATATGAGCTAGTAGAGCAAATTATCGATCATGCATTTTCAAAATTGAGTAATTAATATTACGGATTGGACTTCACATGAATCAATGGTAAATGTGTTCCCAACAACCACGAGCATCAAGTTGTGGGATGTATGTACTGTTTAATTCATCACTTGGCCAATACCTTGGAGTAAAACCTGCGTAGCCATACATTTCCTATCAAGACCAGATCTGAGACTAGTAGTGCAGATGTGAATGAAAAAAGTAAGATGCAATAGCAGCCCTCTAGTGGCGTATATCTATAGAGGGGAGTTTGTGTGTGTACAATACGTAGCACCTCACGCACCTCAATCAGTTTAATACTTATTTTAATGTTGTTCTTGGTATAATAAGACACTGTTGACAATAACTGCACTGAAAAATAATAACTATAAAAATACTCATAAAAACACTCAGGGACCAGACCTCTCCACACATCTGCCGTGCTTGGTTGGTTAGTGGGTTGAAGCTATCAGTACTGTACACGGCTGTCTAACCTTGCATTTTAATTAATAGTAATTTACTGGTATTATTTTTTTCTGTTAGTGAAACTGTACACATCATCTTGCATTGTGCAATTCACTAGACATTCCTGCTTCCACAGAACACTCAAGTTACATAGCTTATTAAAAGGGTACAATTTAACCACAGTCACTCTACAAGGAGAGTGACTGTGATTTAACTGACCTCATCCTACGAAGGCACGTGCTGAGAAATCCGACATTTGGGTTATTAACCAGAAGAAATTGTTACTGTCTATGGAAACAATTTATGTATCATGGCGATTAGACATACACTTGGGCGAACCAGGATAATTTTAACACAGATCTAAATCACCTGTCGCAAGTTTTTAATATACTGCCATCACCTACTCTGATAGTCTGTAAAACTATATCTTCTCTCGATCGATTGCCCATTTATTGGCAGTCTCTTTAATGGTGCCCATTACGTTGTGCACTTCATTAAAACTATGGATCCACATATGATTTTTCGAATAAGGAATTAAAGTTGTTTCATGAATAATATAACCATTGATGAGCCGTAGATGTGAAACAGTTTTATGTAGTCATTACAATCATATATCATTGCTGTGGATAGTGCATTCGAATTGCAATACACAACAAAAATAATTTCTAAGTGTATGCCCGATTGTTTGACATTATACCTTATAATAAGTTAGACTGAATTCTATAATCAGGTCCTGATTACGCAGTATATCTAACACAATTCATATTGTGTTTAAGCACTGCAGCGTACTACTGTAACATTTCTACTATGATCTAACTTAACCTCAGGGGAGATCAATAGTGAATGACTTGACTTGTCTTGTATCAAGGACACTGGCATTTCATTATTCGCGACAAAGGATGTTAAGTATCGCAGTCGCCCTCTCAGTATATATGACGTCTTGTTAGGTCGAAGGTTTACATGCAAAGATAAAATGAATCAGTAGTTTCTGTATTGCATTACATTTCTGACAATTCCTGAACAATCAGTGGCCCTGCCATGGAGACCAGTGCCATCTTCTTTCGTTTGTTTGCGAATGACACTCATGACATCTCAATACAACTGATTGTTAGATGTCAAAAAATGTGTTGATTTTTCACGTCTTTTCATAACATTATATCCCAGATACTAACAATAACATGTGAACTGTTTGAATAGCATTACGGGTGGAGCCCACAATTTGCACTATTGCTAATAAACAACCATGGAATATAAACGTGTGTGACAACAAAAGATATTAACAACATCTTTGCGCTGTCCATTTCTTAGGAACATGTGTGATCCAAAGTTGATTGAACTTCAAAGTATAGTGACACGAACATCTATTGTGATGACGTCACAACACATAGTCAGTACGTATAGAATTATATTTCACGTGGGTGTTTATTCCTTATTGTCAGAATCGTTAGGTGCAATCACCTATTTTATGATTCTAAGTACAACATTTAGATTACTTTATTTTAGAATTGAAAAATAAACAAGTAAATATACACTTTCCTACACTAATTATGTGATTCATCTGAAACAATAACCATATTCAACAACTGCACATGACGGATATAATATCCCGTTAAAATGATATATCATAACAATTGAATATACATGTTTTCATTTTGCCATCAAGGATTTCGAACTCAGTGTGGTCCCAGGCAACAATGCTAATATATGCCAATCAAAGTGTACTTTGCTCGTTATAATTTGTATTACACGAAAAGCTCACACGATTCCAAATGACTTATTTGTACCTGGTAAGGCTATACTATAAATGGAATAAATGTTCACTTACATTAGAATTGTCACATATGAATGGATTATGCTAAAATAATCGTGCATTGGTTTGTATATTATTCAACAGCTATCCTTGGACGATTTCTTATTCTGAATTCAGTGCTTTGGTTTATTTATTTGTTTTACAATAATGCATAGTAACGATTGGGACTTGTGAGTAACAGTAGCCCTTGGATGGAATGTACATTTGTGTTTTCTCAGTCAACTGCATATTCCATCGTCGTTAGTTCCAATCTACTGATGATTAAGAAACGAAAATGAAATGTCGAGTGTCTTGGGTTTTCCAACTTGTGTAAACCTCGGTTTAGCTTGTGCCCATGATAACAACAAGTAAAATCACGTACTACGTTGTACGTTGGCCACGCGTATTTGAACAGTAAATCTGTTATCTGTGATATAGCTGAATAACTATAAATAATATCATAAAAACTCCGAATTTATAATTGGTTTAAGCAATACACAGAATAAACTGCCCAATAAACAACCTTTACCATAATACAGTACACCAAAGTACATGTTAAACCAATCACAGAAAGATCTGTGGACCTTGGGGTATAAAGTTAAAACTTGGTGTTTGTCGTTTCTTACAAAATGTTCACACCCTGCTCCACATATCACGTAGGTGTCTAGTATATACATACATATAATAATTACTTGTGTTACAAACGCGTAGTCAGTAAAACTTATTCAAATTTAAAGCTTTTTTTGACCTTTCTAGGTTTGACAATTGTCAATGGCGTCTACTTGATCAAATTGCTGCGAGTCTAGAAATGATAACAATTCCAATTCAACATTAACAATTTCAAAGTAGGATTTTTTTAAATCCAACGCCTTCAGCACTGACAAATCCGGCATTTAACGTGTTTCTACAAGTGCATTTTATTTCCTACACTTTGCCTTATAACAATGTTTTTTTAAATGTCATTTACATGGACATTGAAATATGGTCCCATTGTGCCATGGTGTTTTTGATTTTCTGCTGATACCCATAAGACATTGCGATCTCACGTGACCGGGAAACCCCGAGTCGTGGTAACCCACAATGCATCACGTTCGTGTTTAATACTTGTTTGAGGTAAAACGATTTTCAAGAAGTGTTCAATAACAGTTTTTAAAGGAACAAGCATATGCCATCCACAATCGATATATTGATTCAAGTGTAAACCCTATTCAATTAGGCCTCTAGGCTGCGTTGAAGAAAGATTGCTTGAGATTTCTGTGTTTTTTTAATATTTTAGACCACCATCCCTAATGCTCACATCGAGATCGCAATCTTATTTGTACAAGAAATGTGAAGGAAAGTTACGGTTTTTAGGACTCTAACATGAACTGTAACTCCTCCCCATCATAGAACCATAGCCACATATCATGAATGATTTGAGTTCCTTAAATATTAATTGAGGTACAAATTTTATTATATATTTTTGCCTGTTGGGCGTAATTGTCATAATTTTATGAAAACTCTATACATGTTAACTAAATGGTGATTCCGTTTAACAAAATATTTAATAGCAGGTATTAATACTCCAACTTTGAAATTCCCGGGAGCTTGCTTAGAGTTACAAAAAATATCAGTGGTATTTATTGGAGTGAAAAAAGATAGTAGCTGTATACTACAAATGTTGTGCACACTCAGCCTGCATGAGGGGGGGGGGCAGTTCTATTTTACAATATGTATTTTCAGATATACTGCCAGTATGCTATCATAATTTGCATGGTCATACTTTATAGATTTGCACGCATAATGCTACCTCCACTGATTTTTAACAATCTACAATCTATGAATATAAGAGCGTTCGATATAAACAATGTATACCAGTCTTTCATTCTTCAGGAACTACTGTGGGTGTCACTCGTTGTTTGAAGAGTGCATTGCTTGGCTTACACCCCGAAAGGAAGGAATATTCATGTTGTTATTAGTGTTGGTAGTATGAATTCATCCCTTTGTATTACCGTTGTCTTATTTACGATCCACGACAACAATGCAATAAAAAAACAAGCCAGGATAGTCAATAAATCGTCCATCACTGATGTTGTTGAACTCCAAAAGGCTAAATATTATCTGAAGTCAGGTAGCGATCATTGTCCGGTAGTGGTTATCACAGAGATGAAGGGGGCGTGTCAGGAGTCGCATCGTAAACTCGACAGCTTAGTGTTGTATTTTCATAAAGGTAATCCTTGACAACCATGCTAGCATCGTATCGAAAGAATTATAGAAAGGTTAAGTATAGGTCCAAGGTCGCGAAATGTATCATGATGATGTTTAACAAAGTAATTGAAACGAAAAAATCACGTAATAACTTAAATTATTTGTCGTTAATTAGTCAAAATTTGTTTTCCTTTTTTTTTACTTTTTTTGTATGCACATTTTTCAAAACCAAAAATGAATTCTTTATTTTCGCATTGGTTATTTGCTGATGTAGACAATTATTTTGTCATGTACCGAACGCACAAGTGTTCGTATTAGCCTTAGTTATACCGATAGACGTACTTTCGACATTCGCTGTTAGATGTATTGACCCATAAAAACTGGTGATCAATAATGACTGATATGATTATTCTATTTTTAGCACCTTATGGGATATTGCAGTATTGTGCCTGACGCCCGTTACTAGGATACATCGATAGAACAGACAGCGATCGGATCCAGGGAACAGTATTCATGTTTGTAACCAAAAGGTTGTATTGTCGCACACAATGAAATCATTATGGCTTGTAATGACTTTGATTAGACTAAAATGAACCAATTTGACTTCTAGTTATTTATTTTTTACAGATGGGTTGCTTGGCATGCATTAGTTTATAGTCGTTGCATGAAACGCATACACATATATATTGTTTGAATTCGTGGCACAAAGCAGGTTTATAGAAAATTATAAACGCGATTATTTAGTGAATGATAAATAAAGAGTGGCTATGGCGTGAGTATTATGTGGCTGATTGGAGGTAATTTTCAAAATAACAGTAATTAACATTATTTTTCAAATATTGCTGTGTCAAGTAAAACATTTTCTAAAACAACTGTATAATGGGAAACAAGTTTTTTCTTGTTATTTTTGCATATTGAAATGTCATCAAGTGTTTGTACACGCCCTACGCGTCGCCAGGAAAGACATTAATCCAAACTTCTTGATTTCAACATTTGATTTAATTATGACTGTAATTGTAAATGGCTTCATTCAAAGATCATACTCATGGCAGAAAATGTAAATGGGTAAAAAAATACAGAAATTGTGACACAATCAACATTTTTCATAATAAGTCCCAATTCATATTTTAATTCATATATTCAACACCACATATAAGAAATATACATAAAGTTATTCAAAAGCTTTGTTTCATTATTCTGGATGGAGCATGATCATAAACTTTCGTCAGGTGGTTCAATTATAATTTAACATAACATAACATAACATACATTAACATAATACAACATAGTAAAACATAATACAACATAACGTAACAAATATTGACATGTAAATTAGCGTGTGCTCAATTACAATTATATTTATTTCCCTCATGACGTAACATCTGTAAATTTCACATTGGCTATACTGGTATTCGGATGTGCCATGTGGTGTCCCTCCCGGAATGGGGCAAGAGCATTTTATGATTAATACTAATTAATATATATACAAATTCGTAGTTATTACTTGAATCTACATGTAAATAAACGGCGATCACGTGGGTGGTTATCTGGACAGTCCGGTGTGCTCGAATTGACCTGCTAAACCTAATCACAACACACCGGGTGATGTCAAGTACATTATACTGTGCACTTCAACGCGGCACAATACGGTGAGGTCATTCGCAACAACTGGCTGGGTTATATATCACTGCTAATAAATAAGGTATGTGTATTTGTAACCCCAGGGTTTGTGACATCCAAAACAGAACAGTGACCACAAGCTGTGACGTTTCTCTTTAATCTATTTTTCATGTTATACATAGATAAACAATGTTTCAACAATATTCACAGCGAAATCTTTGCGACTATTTGTTTAATATGACTTCGGGGTTGGCCTTAAATCAAAGTTTGTTATTATTTACTTAAAACAGAGAAAGCCATTTCCTTTCTTGCTTTCCTAAAATCATTTGTATTCAGATCTAATAAATGCACACGTCTTAATTATTTAAACGAACAGACATGTATAAAATCTGACAAGTCTGTATGTATACCAACCCCAATATACTAAACAATGCCGGAATTTACGGTAACTATTCCGTTGACAACACGGGGCGTATGGTATGTTGCTGGTATACTTTTCAAGATGTCGTGGCTTTAATTGAAACTATCCTTGCGTATCACCGAAAAAAAAGATACATACTCTAGTGTATCACTTTGTTGTCGTGAAGCGTTGTGGTCTCCTGGGTTACGTATTCAGTACTTGATACGCGAAAAATACGTACTTTATTGTTTTCACGTGGCGTAAATATGTACTACACACAAGTAGGTTGGATATTATACATATTCATCCATTGTCTTGCTATATACTAATGGAGGGGCTACAATCGTGCGTATTATCAAGCTCATGCTCACCGGTGAGAAGACACATCGGTGGAATGTTAAATTTTTTGGGGCAACCTCAAATGGCTACATATGAAGGGCAAGTTTATATACTTCAGTAGCGGCTTATAAAAGCCACACAAATGCGTAACCTTTGCTATAGCCTAGGCGTTGGACCCCACCGTAAATAACACGCACATTTTGTACAATGACTTCTTTCAGTTCTATTGTATTATAGAAACCACTATCACTATTGGAAGAACTTTTAATTAATTGCAATGGCTCATCAGGGTCACAATACGAGTCGTAACGTTTAATTTCGCCATGGAATATATTACGAAAAAAGTTTGAATTTGGGGGAAAGGATCATAGCTGTTTCGGAGTTAAATACTAATAGTATTTAGAACGCAGCGCAAACTGGATTCGCATTTAACGCCAGGTGAAAAAGGAAAGTAATATTAAACACCGCCATTGTGTTGAAGGTCATCCGTGAGGAGTGGTTTTCTGAAAGCGTGTATACGTATCCTCCGTGAGCAATAAATGGGTGTCTTTTTCAGTCTATGTATGCGGGCATATTGACATACGTGATACACTACACAATAATCAAACACACTGTTATGCTATCGACGGTAAACCTCGAAATCCAAATACAAAACAAAAATTAACACTTTTTGATTGGTTAAACATTGAAATAAAATCCCTGAAACCGTAAATAAAGTATTTCGCTCCCGTTTAGAAGTTCATTGAGCTCGGTGGTGATATATTATTATTTACTCTGCAAACTGCTTTTCAATTTGCTGATTGTTGTCATGATATATCAGTTCTCATTGTGATCGGTTTACGGTTAACGGCAGACGTGTCGAAGCACTTGTCAACCTCACGTACGCCTTTTAAACTTCCCGTTTAGTTTTTCTAACACTGTGTATACGGTCGTGTGTACGTGAATGTCAAGTGTACGGTCTGCGATTTAAAACACTTGAGTTGGTCAATTGTGCGTAGTGATAATCCTGTAAATTTGGGCCGCGATTTACAATAAAAGACAGTGTGAACTTCACGATTATGTATCGCCGGAAACGGTTGTAGGGCACATTACCGCACACAATGCTTTCAATGACGCTGTAAGAAATGCTAGATGTTGCCAAAACAAAACGAACATGATAATGACCGTATTTAAACTCACAGTTTCTGTCATGACGAAATTCTATTAATACTTTATAACTTAAATTCCCGATGTGTATATGCTATATATCGTGACGGTACTCATGACGAAGTGTTTCCAGTATCTGCCATGTTTGTATCACTGTCGTCAATTTTCTGTTCAGCCTCTAAATGTTGTTCCGACTCAAAGAGATCGGACTCTGAACTTCTTTCTTCTATGTCTCCTAAATCGGAGTCAACCGAGTGACAGCCTCCATTAAGACTGTTCTCCGTAAGATTTGCAGGTGGTTTCAATAGTTCAACCGGAATAATTCGCTCTTTAGCCGGAGGTCTCTGCATTTTGGGTGCCCGGATTGTCAGTATGCCATCGTGCGAGAGCGTGGAAGTTACAGTCTCTGGGTCTACGTTAGACGGTAGTTGGTACTGTCGACTAAACTCGCGAGATACAAAATTATATCCATTTTCATTGTCTTCGTGCTTTGCGCTCACAATCACTCGATTCTCGATCCCCTTCACGACGATTTCGCTATGTTCAAATCGACTAATATCCAACATGATTTCCCAGTGCGTATCGTCACTGTCGGACTGACTGCTGACGGATGTCACTGACGGCGATCTCCACAAACCGGACGACAGACTAGACATACTGCCATGGTGTTGTTGTCGGTGGTGGTCCGGCGAGAACTCACCCGACGATAACCCCCTGCCGTAGTCCTGTTCGTACGATGGTGATCTCTGGGCTTGGTTGAAAACCGAACCCGAGCGAGAGAACACGGAGTCTAGGTTGAACGGGTGAGAATACTGAAACCTCCAACCCGACATGGTGGCTGACGCCGTTACAAGGTTTCCCCCAAATTGTTTACGAAATCGATGCTCACCACGTGTATGACTCGAACAATGACAGCCGGTTACGACCAGCCTCAATCACGCACGTCATCCAAATGTTACCAGTGATAATGTCTACAATCAACACAGTGCCAGTAAACGTTTTACCTTACCGAATATAGGGTTGTGGCGCAGAGGAAACACAGACGCCAAGCGATAAATGCAAACGAGTAGGTGTACGACGCAACCAGGTGACCTCGCATACAGAGTTTACCTATTCGACCTCACTGTAAATTCAGTTCACGTAAAACCCACGCGTACGTACGGTGAAAATGTTCACACCCATTATATATCACTCAGATTGAACGACACTCCAGCCGTCGCCGCACTTTGTTGGTATGAGATTGCCGCTCTTATACCAAATATCACCATTGCAGTAAATGCGCTGCCTCGGCGAGATCGGGCCGCTTTTATTTATTCTTAATGAGGTCGTAGTGGACAATCCGTTCCTTTCTTGGACCAATAACGATTGGGGGCATTCATATCAGGATAATACCTTTTCTGTTCGTTTCAACACAGGCGTTATTGCACTATTCAATTACAACAGTATAGCTACAATGCGTTTTACTACCTGGTCACCAAGTTTTAGAAAACGGTTTATAACACAAAACTGCCAATTTTAATCTGGAAATAAAGAGATAGCTCTTATATCATCTATTACCAGTTGAAGCTAACACGCCAGAGGACTTAGTTGAAGTTAATTGTAATGGTGGAAATGCGAACTAAATAAGCAGGCAAGCATGACAAATGAATGTATTCTTCTAGTTATGAAGTGTTTAATGCAGCGGAAGAAAACAGTCATTATTACGGCACCCGATTGCAGCACTATTCAATACCAGCATCGGCGAAAAGTGAGCATGCGCATTCCATTGTTGAGTCTACCTCTTTTAAATTGATAAACAATTTTAATATTGAGTTTTAATTTAGGGAACTGCTAAACCAAACGCAAACTTACCGGGTTTATTCAAATTGTATTCGTCTATCGGCGTACCATGGAAGGTACTCTTTTTACCTTCCATGGACGTACTATTACCATTCTTGTACTTATTCAGTTGTTGGGTGGAGCGTGCATTGTTTAAATTTAGGGAGTGGCTTTTACAATCTCGTGAAGTACTCGAAAGTTGACGAACTCCAACATACCACATTTTAAATTTCGAAAAATTAACACATGTGCCAACTTGTTGCCACTTTATTACTGATAGCGAGATATTTGAAAAATACGTTAGTTCTCTTGAAGTTGAACGCTCGATATCTATCGATTTAACGTGATGATATCAGAAAACTTAACCTGTTTGTCTTTAGACTATTTTGCGTTAGCAAATAACGGCAATTGTCGGCCGTAGACAATGGAGTCGAGGTTCAAATTTAAGTTTAAGTTTAATGTGTCGGTAAAAGCCTCGGTGAAATAAAACGCACGGCGATAAATGCAACAATCACGTGATGAAACAGACACGCACAGCAATCACGTGATGAAACAGACACGCTACATCATTCAGGCACAAGTGTTTAGTGCGCGGACATCCATCACCGACTGGTGTGGACAGTAAGTAATCCAGCTAATACATACCAGCTTTTACATGAGTGATTTGCAGTACAACACAAACAATTATACTAACCAGCAGTGTCAAACCATGGAACTATAAACCACAGTCCCTCTATCATAGATAGAGGGATAGAGGGACTGTGTATAAACCTATGGTTTATAGTTCCATGGTCAAACGAATAGCATCATAGATTCACCACGACGGGAATGTTTATTCCACACGCAATGAACCAACAGGCATTTGTCAATTCATTTAATCTTAAATGGCGGTGGTCGTCGTACCGCGTCCTGTTCGATATGGGACTCATAGCGACGTATACAACGCGTGTAAAATACATTATTTATTTAGATGATATTCGAACATGCGCTGCGCGACGACCACCGCCCATTAACAACAGTTTCATGTGTTCGAACCGTACCAGTACTGTACAATTGTTGTGTCTCATTTAGATCCTTCAAATACCTTCAATTTTCGATACCACTACAAGAACGTGATTTTTCTTTAATTTCGTACTGCAGATCTGAGTCCAGTTGATTTAGAACTTTAAATAGATTTGATGACACTATACATGACGAGTATAGCGCCACCCAGTGTTCAAAATAAAAACACCTTTGTCCCAAACAGGAAAATTTCTTTAAAATTGTCATTGTGCAAACTATAACGTCTTATCATTTGATTGAATAACAAAAACAGATATTCATGACGAGTGTGAATTGGCGAAGGACATTGACACGTCGCCTGTGCGCATAGTTTCGTATCCAATCAGAAACTCATCTCTCCAGGAACGTGTTGAAGCTATCAGCTGTACCTTAAAACCTGTCTTAAAAATTCAAGATGCGTTATTAAAACACAAGTTATTTTTTTCGATTTTGTATAAAGTATCAGGTCCTTCAAATATTACACAAAATCAGACAAAACATAACGATTAGGTTGATAGATATTTAACATTTGAGCAAATCATCGACAGATGGCGCTATACTGTTGTCGGTCGAAGACCATTTTCCAACCATTAATAAGCACTATCATAATATTAACATTTAACCTTAAGAAAAATAATAATGCATACCACGTGCACACTAACATATATGGAACACAGAAACTCACACCATCCAAACAATTCAAAAAGAAAATTAAATCAAAGAAAGCTTAGAAAGAACTCCCATGTGCTGAGAGTATTTGAGACACATTAAATATAATTCAAAATTACTTGTCAGAGATAGTGATAGTGATGAAAAAGCCAAAAACTAATAATGCAAATCAGAAAATTAATATGAACAGATTTTAATGGAAAACTAATGAGGTCTGCGAAATGTAACAGACCATCTATGTGCCAAGTTTTATTGAAATGTGATTGGAACCCAAAAAAAATATTAATTATTATGCTTATTAGGAAATTAATATAAACAGATTTTAACCCCAAACTAATCAGTACATTGTCCTAGAGCATCTTTACACTAAGTTTCATTGAAATGGAATAATTAGTACTTTAGATATCAGTGTGATAGCTTAAAAGTGGTTAATTATGTAAATTAGTAATTAATATGTACAGATTTTAACCCACAATTATCCAGGTCTGTCTATTGTCCTACAGCATCCATGTACAAAGTTTCATTGAAATGTGATGATTAGAAATCAGTGTGAAAGCTGAAAATTAATTAATTATGCAAATTAGGTAATTAATATACACAATTATTTACCCTAAAAGTAATCAGGTCTCTGGATAGTCCTAAAGGATCTATGTACCAAGTTTCATTGCAATGTGATAATTAATACTTAAGATATCTGTGGGAAAGCTGAAAATTAACTAATTATGCAAATTAGGTAATTAATATGCACAAATATTTATCCCAAAACAATCAATCTCTGCATAGTAGAGTAATTATGTACCAAGTTTTATTGAAATGTAATGCTTACTACTTGAAACATCAAAAGCTGAAAATTAATTTATTATGCAAATTAGGTAATTAATATGCACTGACATTACCCTAAAAACTATCAGGTCTGTGCAGTGTCCTATGGCATCTATTTACCAAGTTTCATTGAAATGTAATGATTAGTACTTGAGATATCAGTGGAAAAACCGAAAATTGACTAATCATTATGCAAATTAGGTAATTAGTAATTAGGTAATTTTTACCAAAAACTAATCAAAACCAAGCATTAGTTCAGAGCATCCATGTACCAAGTTTCATCAAAATCCAATATGTGGTTCTTTAGATATCAATGGAACAATCATGGAACAGCTAAAAATTAGCTTATTATCATGCAAATTAGGTAATTAATATGCATGAAATTTTACCAAAACCTAATCAAATCTGCGCATTAGCCCAGAGCATCTATGCACAAAGTTTCATCAAAAACTAATGTATGGTTCTTGAGATACATTGTATCAGTGGAACAGACGGACACACATACACACACACTAACCACAAAGACTCCCATTTTGTGCTTCGCACATGGGAGTCAAAAAGGACGTGCATGGATAAAAAAGAAGACAGGCGGACAATCCAGACAATTTAGAGTGCTGACCAACTTTACATTGAAACAGGAAGACATAGAGAACCCAAAACGAAGTCGGAAGACATCAATTTCAAAAGCTATCAAAATTTATTCAAAAGTCTTTTACATTAGAAAAAACAAAATTTCCTTTTAAATTCTAATTTAGTGTAGTGTTTTAAGGTAGCGAGACTATTATTTGTGTTGAAAATTACGATTTTCACATTTATTTATTAATTGATGAAATGCACTATAAACTTTCATATGATAAAGTCAACATAACATAGAATGTCATGTAAGTTGGTTAAAATGTATATTTTCTGTAGGGAAGCAAGGCAGCCTCAGTAGTGTTTTCCAAAATCAACAATACAGGTTTAATCTGTGTGCCTATAAGTTTCAAAGATAAACTCAAGACAAAGCAATGTTAGGATGTGTTATCAGTAGCTATCTGACACACAATGAGTGTTTCCAAACATTCGAGTGGTTTGTCTCCGCCCCTGTTTGTTTCACAGATTAGTCATTTGCATATGAATGTGTCAGACACAAGGTCACACAGCCACTGAAAAAAATCATTGATTTTGGTGTTTTGATGAAC